TTCAAATAAGAGATACTGAAAATGGAACTTTCTATTTCTACAGTGTTATCCTGTTCATTTACATAATTGGTATATTAAGTACTCTTTTAGTGAAAATGAGAAGCATCAAATAACTAGAATAGTCTATTCAGTCATAGAACTGTTTTTCCATCACACAGTCCCCAATTCTTGTTTTCTTTTCAGCTTTCCTTTCTGGATCCCAGTGTCTCTGATTCTTTCATCTCAGCTTTGCTTGTTTTGGTCACAAATACAGAGAAATGACATTTGCTAGGTTGGAAGGATACCCTTACAAACCAGGTGGGTCAATCCCTGTTCCAGGATTGCACGAATCTTATTTAGGACAGACATTCCCTTTGTTTCAGCTACCAGTTCTGTAAACTGCAGCTGTTTGACCTTTACTGCACATGAAAATAACTAGCAGCATGCTACCTACCTTCCAAAAGCTACCTTCTGCAAACTACCTTCCAAAACAGTTTATCTCCATCCCCAGTAGCATCACCGCATGGCAGAAAACAATAGATGGAACTGAAAGGGCTTGCATTTCACATCCAGAAGACTTGTATTTGTTCATAGGATATCAAAACTGACATTCGGAAGATTTTGTATGTTTAATCATAATGCAAAATAAAAAAATAATGAGAAAAAGCTTAATATTTTTTTTTCTCCTGGGACTACTGGGAGTCAAGATAATTTCCACAATAAATGGATTTGCTGGCATCATTCCAAGAAAGCAAAAAGTCGGAAAGGAAGCAGATTCAAGTATGTGTCCTGTCTCCACCACAGCAAGCCTTATTGAATTATATTTCACTCAAATGCAATTTAATAATGATAATAAATTACACTGGCCTTCGACTTGATGTTATAGGACTAAGTAGTGCAACATACTACTTAGTCTTTTGAAACAGCATTCACAAAGAAAGAACTGAAATGCGTTTATCTCCAGAGAGTAATCTAGATATTTAGGCACATTTAATTTTTGAAAAATCCAGTGCAACTTGAGTCACTTAGGCTATAGCTATACTCAGAAATAAGCTAGGTCCATTACCTGACCCTTTGGCCAACCGACTTGTATGATTAAACTTTCTTATCCTATAGAGAGGGTGGCTGCGTCCAACAGGGTTAGTCCCTGAATCATGCCTGGGCACCAGCTAGAAGAGAGCCAAGCGGCCCAGGCTGAAAGTGGGCTGGGAATGATGCTGGCAGCGCTTGCAGTTTGACGGAGGTGGTGATCAGATAGCTGTCGTTGGGCACATAACTCTGCTTCTGCCATCTGTGTCAAACAGCAGTGGCAGGCCTTGCACTTCTTTTTTATTGCCTCTTGGACTGAAATGTACTCCTTTCAAGAGTAACTTAAATGATTTCCGAATTTTAAAGTTTCTGATAAATCAGTTACATTTACCTATTGGTAAGTTGTTAAATAAAATTATTTATTCAGATACAAATATTAATTTTTATCGTTTATAAATTTTTCATGTTCAGTTTGCTGAATCTTTGAGCAATACAAACTGACAAAATAGGGGCTTACCTTTCTCTAAGTAGAAACAGAATTTAAATGGGAAAAAACTCCTTGCAAAGATGCCTGATAAAACCCAGAGGAGAAACATGCACATATGTCAAAGGTCTGTTGAAGGTTAAGTGAAGGCTTTTCTAATTTTCATTTTATCCTATTCAGGATAGTGATAGAAAACTAGAATTATTCTTATGAAGCCCATCTACACACATTTTGTAGCCAATGCATGTTTTTATACCATCAAAACTGTCAATATTCAAGTTTTATAACAGGTTTATTGGTGCTCTGTCAGGCCCCAGTTCTGAGCTCTCCTGTTCGTCCAAGCAGTGAACTAAGACAGTATAAGCCCCATTTTATTTCTGTGCATTAGGTCCCTCCATCCTGATAAACAAGCTAAAAAGTCAGCTAATGCAGCTGACATCTTGAATTATGTAATTTCTCATAACACATGCCAGAAATGCTATTCAGCCCTGCTATACATGCAGGAAAGCTGTTCAAAACGTTCGCTTCTGGCTCAGGAGCATCATCAGTGGTATCAAGGGTACTCGGCATGCAATGAGGATTACTGAGCTGTGCTGGAGGAGGAAGGCAGGCTCCATAACCATCATCCCTTGCTACATCCTTCATAGAAATCTGTCAGACATAAAAGGTAACCACAGTGACAGGAAGGCAAAGACCTACTGGGAAGAGATGGCTTGTGGTGAAAACCCAGGTTTAGGATCAGCACTGTGAGACAAGATATTTTCTGTCTGCTTTAGGACTGCTGAAATTTGCAGATTTTTGCAAGAAAGACCTACGAGAACCAGAATAATTATCACATTTCTGCCTGAAGTTCACTGGAAAAAAAGGTATATGTTTGGCTGGCAGATTCAAGGTGTTGCCCCTCAGTTTAAGGGAAAACTGAGGACTTAAAAGATATCTGTCGGCAGCAGCCTGGCTGCTCAATTATTCCTAGTGCAGTGTTTGCGACAAATTCTCAACAGAGCCCCTAATAATATTTCACAGTATTACAAAAACCTTCCTCCTTTTCCGACTACAGTTAGTGGTAACTATGCCATTAAATCCTTTGGGACCATGAACAGGCACAGCTGTCAACCCCAGTATACTGAATTAGCATCACACCTGTGTTCTAATCAGGTTTTTTTGAGTGATGTATTTGCAATACATGGAAAACTGTCAGAAGACACAATATTTGCTATTGACCTGCTAATAATCACGTCTTCAGGATTTAACAGATCAGAAATATTTTTTTTTCTTGAAACATTCTTTTTTTGAATAGGTATCTCTAGGTGCTGTCTGGATCTGTTCATAAGCTCTGGGGGTCTAGGGCAGGCACTGAGACCTGCCACTCACTGGAAAATTTGTGCTGTTACATTCACTTGTGGGAAGCCCAACCATAGCTGAAAACAAAGAACAGAACAGAACATATTTTATTTAATTTGGTCTAAGTATTTGGAAAGTTAGAACTGTCTCTGAGAAAAGATTTTAGTTTGTGGTACTAAAATGTATATGACATACCCTCCAAAACAGGATGGCTGCATCCAAACTGCCTTCTGGGAATGATTCCTGGCCTACACCAATGCCCAAATCATGACCAGGCAGTGGCTGGGACAGTGCTAATAGACCCAGGCGGCAAGTGTGCTGAGGATCATTCCAATACCTTCTCAGTGTACATGGTTGTGTGTCTGTACTCAGGTCTATGTTCTGGAAAATTTACCAGCCAGTCAATGTGTGGAA